TCCCAGGGGGTCTCTGGGGGGATGGAGGGTCCTGGAAAGGTTTAAACTCTGGGATTTTGAGGATGATGAGGAGGAATGGCAGGAGTTTGGGGGTGAGGAAGAGAAGGATGGAGGGGCTTTGAGGATAAGGAGGAAGGGGGAGTTGGAGGATGAGGAGGAAAGTTCGATTTGAGGAGGAAGAAGAGGGTTTGGTGTGATAAGGAGGGAACTTGGAATAAAGAGAGGGAATTTTGGGGGTGTCTCCATGCTAGAGGGGCTAGGAAGGGCATTCCTTGGTGCTGACCCCCCTCCCAACCCCCCCCAGGCTGGAAGACCCCCAAGGTGGCCCTGATGGAGGTCCAGAAGCTCCTTCGCAGTGTCATCATCTTCCTTCTGGGCTTTGACATCCTGGGGGGCTCCCGGAGCAACGAGGGGCCAGAGCAATTCCAGGACTATGGTGAGAGGGGAGGGGGGACCCTCTGGAATGGGGTAGAATCCCTGGAAAGGATTGGGAGCCTCTGGAATGAGTTGGGTTCCTTGGGAGGGGTCAGGACCCTCTGCAGTGAGTTGGGCTCCTCCAGGGAGGACCTGGAGCCTCTGGAAGAGCTCAGGCTTCCCCTGGGCCGGATCCATCCCCTCCCTTCTGCCCCCTCAGGTGCCAACGTGGTGCTGAAGTGGGAGGTGCTGGGGGAGGCCCTGTGGTGCTGTGAGCGCCTGGTGACACTGCTGGGCCGGGCCGAGGTGCTGTGCCGGGCCAGGGCCTTCTGCGGGGAGGCCCTCAGGCTGTCCGGGCTCCTGCAGGGCACACGGTGGTGAGCTGGATCCCTGGGGCTGGGAACGGGATCCCTGGGGCTGGGAACGGGATCCTTGGGGCTGGGAACGGGATCCTTGGGGTTGGGAACGGGATCCTTGGGGTTGGGAACGGGATCCTTAGGGTTGGGAACGGGATCCTTGGGGTTGGGATCGGGAATGGGATCCTTGGGGTTGGGAATGGGGCCTTGTGACAGGCCAGGGCCTCCTGCAGAGAGACCCTCAGGCTGTCCGGGCTCCTGCAGGGCACACAGTGGTGAGTCCTGGGGTTGGGATCCTCGGGGTTGGGAATGGGGAGAAAATGGGACTAAAGAACAGGATTGGCAAAACCCTGACACTAAACCTGAGGGGTCTTTGGGGAGATCTGGGGGGTCTTTGGCAGGGTCTGAGGGGTCTTGGGAGGTCCGAGGGATCTTTGGGGGGGGTCTCAGGGGTCTTTTGGGGGTCTGAGAGTATCTTAGGCATCTGAGGGGTCTTGGGGGGGTCTGAGGGGTCTCTTCCCCATCCCTTTTCCAGGTGCATGTCGTTCCTGCTGCTGAAATCCCAGCTGGAGCTGCAGCAGGGGGAGCTGGAGCTGAGCCAGCTCAACCTCCAGCACACCCTGTTCCTGCTGCAGCCCCACCCAGGTGAGACCCCTGGGATGCAGGGGGGGACCCCCGAGCTTGGGGGGATCCTGGGGGTCCCCAGTTTTGGGATCTGCCTCAGGATCCTTCCTGGATTCAGTGCTGGAGCACCCAGGGGTTGACCTTGAGCTTGACAAGTTTGGGATTCAGGTTGGATCCTTGGGCTGGTGGACCCCAAATATCCCTCCCTTCCATCCAGAGTTTAAATCCAGAAAGGAGAGTGTTGGATCCAGGTTTCTCAGGCTGAAGGACCCCAAATTAACCCTCCTTTCCCTTTCAGAGCCCAAACCCCCCCAGGAGCCCCTGCTCCCACCCAAGATCCACCCGAGGAAGGGCCACATGGAGCCGAGGAGGCGCTGGGACCACCCCAAAAACCCCTCGGGAGAGGTGGACGAGGGGTTCCTAAAGGGCCCTGCCCTGGAATTTGTGGCTCCTTCAAGCTCCCAGGACCCTCTGAGTGCCCTCACAGCCTCCCCTGAGCTGAAACCCGGGAAGAAGATGAGCCTGACCTTCCTCTCCCACCCCTGGAGCTGCCCCTGCTGCCTCTGCTCAGACCTGGTGGTGTCGGTGCTGGGCCTGCGCTGGGCCCTGGCCCAGGCCCGGGGCCGGGTCCTGGCAGGGGAAGGGGCCGCGGGGGTGGCCCTGGTGAGGAGGGTCCTGCCCCGCTGTGCCAGGGTGGGCCACAGGTTTGCCAGGGAGCTCGGTGACAGGCTGGGGGGGCACCGTGGAAAAGGGGAGCCCCCCGGGGACAGGGACCACCCCAGGAACCAGGACTTCTCTGTCAATGGGGACCCCACCAGGGACAGGGACCCCCTTGGGAACCAGGACCTGGGGCTGCAGGACCCCTTTGAGGACCAAGACCCTCCTGAGAACTGGGATCTGCCCACCCTGGACCCCCAGAACCCCCCCAGAATGAGACCCCAGCCCACTCTGGGCCTGCTGGACGAGCTGGTGGCCATGGGCTACTCCACACTGGCCCTGCAGAGCCTGAGCGGCACCGGGGGGCTCTGGGACCCCCAGGACGAGGAGCTGGAGTGGGGATTGACCTTCCTGGAGTCCTGCAGCCCCCACCTGCCCGGCCTGGGGGTCTCCAGGGCCACCCTCCTGCTGGCTAAGGCCATGGCCACCCTTGGCCACCTGGCCACCAAACTGGGCCTCTCTGTGGATGATGTCCTTGCCCAGGGCTGGACCCTCCAACTGCAGCCTCCCCCTCCAAAAAAGACCCTGAAAGACTCCAAGGCTGAACCCCAAAAGCACAAACCCGCCCCCCCCAAGGCCAGGGGGGTGAAGCCCCGTGGGGTGGAACCCCCCAAGGAGAAGCCCTCCAAGGAGAAGCCCCCCAGGGTGAAGCCCCCCAGGGTGAGCCCCCCCAGCCCCCAGGACGTGTTTGCTCCGGGGGACTTGGACTCTGAGGTTGTGCCCCCCATTGCAATCAGGGGGCCCTGCACCCCCCACCCCAAAGCTTTTCCCTCCTTCCCGGGGCTCCCTGGCCTCCCCAGGACCCCCTTCACCATCTACAACGAGGCCTCACCCCCTCCTTGCAAGGCCCAGCTGAGCAGAGCCCCCAGAGCCCAGGGGAGGGTCAAGTCCCGCCTAAAGGTCAGTTTTTGGGGGGATTTTGGGGTGGGGAAGGTTGGGAGGGAAGGATTGGGGTGAAAAGTTTTGGGGGGGGAAGTTTGAGGGGAGGAAATTGTGGGGGGAAAAGTTTGAGGAAGGAAAGTTTGGGGGTAAGCTTGGGAGGAAGTTTGGGGAGGGAAGGTTTTGAAGGGGGAGAGATTGAGATGGGAAGTTTGAGGGGGGAAAAGGTTGGAGGGGGAAACTCGGGGGGAAAATATTTTGGGGGCAAAACTTTGGGAGGCAAAGAGAGGGGGGAAGGTTGAAGGGGAAAAATGGGGGGAAAGCTGAGGGGTAAAGTTTGGGATGCCCCCCAAACCACCCCTGACCCCCCTGTTCCCCCTCTTTCAGGTGACATTCAGTGATGACAGCGACCTGGAGGATCCTAAAGCCCCCCCAAGTGCCTCAACCACCCAAAAAACATCCTGTGCCCGCAGGAAGAGGCAGCCCCGCAAGTCCCCAGGATCCCCCCAAATGAGCCCCCCAGGAATGGGGGTCAGACGACAGCGGGGGAGGCCCAGGAAGGACCAAGGAAGCCCCCAAAAAGCGGCTCAGGAGAAGAAGGAAAGGGGGACACACTGGGCTGGGGGTTCCAGGAGGAAGAAGGAGCAGGAGACCCCCCAAAATGTGGCTCTGGAGGAGAAGAAAAGGGGAACCCGCCGGGCTGGGGGTCCCAGGGGGAAGAAGGAGCAGGAGACCCCCCAAAAAGGGGCTCTGGAGGAGAAAACAAAGCAGGGACCTCCCTCCCAGGGGGTGCTGGAGGGGCTTAACCCCCTGAGGGCCGTGGAAGAAGAGGAGGAGGAAGAGCTACAGCGGAGCTTCGAAGTCTCCCAGGAGTGGGGGGGACCCCCAGGTGAGTTTTGGGGCCGATTTGGGGGGTTCTGTCCCCAAATCTGTCCTCAGCCTGAGGTTGAAGCCCCTCTGTGTTCTCCCCACCCCACAGGGAGGGTCCAGCCCAAGGCCAGTGAGGATGTCCCAGGCAGGGGGGACCCCACACCAGGTTTGGGGGCACCCCTGCCCATGGCTAGAGGTGAGAGTCTGGAATTTGGGGGATTTGAGGGGGCTAGGGAGTGGGGGGGCAAAGGTCTTGCTGGGCATTTATTGATTTCCAGCTTCATTTATTTCCCTTCCCTAAGAACTTCCTTCCCTTCCCCAGGGGTTTCTTTTCCCCCAGGAGTTTCCTTTCCTTCTCCAGGAGTTTCCTTCCCCCCAAACTTGCCTTTCCCCACCCAAAACTTCCCTTTCCCAAAACTTGCCTTTCTTAGAGCTGGGGGGCTGAGGCCATGGTGGGTTCCCCCCTCTGTCCCCTCCCCTCCCTGCTCCTCCCATGGTGTCTGACCCCACTCTGGAGTGTCCCTGGGGTTTCACTGTCCCCTTTCTGGGGTGTCCCTGACCCCACGCTGGGTGTCCCTGGGGTGTCCCTGACCCCTGTCCGTGGTGTCCCCTCTCTTTCTCCTCCAGGTCACCCATCCCTGGACTCAGTTTTGGAGCTGCTGCAGGAGGCCCTGGGCTGGATCAGCCACTTCCCCCCGGGGTCCCTGTACGGGGGGCTGTGCCAGCTGCTGGCCCTGCTCACGGGGGACAGGGACCCCCTGGGCACAGCGGGGCTGCTCTCGGAGTCCTTGTGTGTCACCGCCCGCCACCAGCTGCTGGGCATCCTGCACAGCCGGGCAAGGCGGGTGTCCCCTCCCCGTGTCCCCTCCTGTGTCCCCTTCCTTCATCCCCAGGGCTTTGGGCCCCATTCCATTGCCCCATCCCAATGTCCCCTCTCTTCCCCACCATCCCCCCCATCCTGGGGCAGGGTCTCACCCCACACTCCCCTCACCCTGCAGAGGTCATTTTGGGATGATTTCTCCTTCACCTTTGAGATGATCCCCTCTCACCTTTGGGACAATCCCCCCCCTCACCTTTGGGATGATCTCCCCACTCAGGAAGAAGAGGAAGAAGGAGAAGTTGGGAGGGGATGTGTCAGAGCAGCTCCAGGGCCTTTCCCTGCGGGAAGGGGGGGCCCCCCCCCAACCCTGCCCCCACCTGGCCCAGCTCGAGGGGCTCTTCCAGTTCAGCACCTCAGGGCTGGGGGCTCCAGAGAGGGAACAATTCCGGGAGCAGATCCAGCAGATCCCCAGTGGTGAGTCCACAGGGCCCACTGGGACCAGCACTGGGGAGGGGGATCCTGAACCCAGGGGGGGCTTGGGTGTCCCCCTGTGCAGGATATGGAGGGGCTGGAGAACAAGGAAAACAAGAAGGGGCTGGAGAAGGAGGGAAAGTGGCTGCAGAAGAAGGAAAAGGTGCCCTGGGGGAGGTGGGTCTGTGGTGCCCTGGGGGGTCTGTGATGTTTTGTGGGGCCTCTGATGGCCAGGGGTGTCCCTGACCTCGTGTGTCCCTAGGGGTGACCGTGGTCCTGCTGGCCCTGGGCAGCCCCTGCCCGGGGGCCGTTGGGGATACTCTGCTCCTGACGCGGCTGGAGAGGGACATGGAGCCCCTGAGCATCCGGATCCCCACCCACAGGTCCCAGGTGAGGGCAGCGAGGGCATTCCAGGGTCTGGGATCCATCCCCAGCCTCCTCCTCATCCTGGGGAGGAGCAAATTCCCCATTCCAGGGGCTGGCATCATGGACCACCCTCACCTTCATCCTGGGGAGGGGACACCCCCATTCCAGGATCCCTTTAGGGAGTCACTCACCATTTCAGGGGGTGGGATCCCTTTAGGATGTCCCCCCACCATTCCCAGATCCTTGATACCTCCCCCTCCAGGCCCCCCTCAGCTCCATCCTGAGAGAATTTGAGTCGATCCAACACGAGCAGAAGGAAGCCAACGGATGCACAGACAAGCAGGAGTGGTGGTCACGGCGTTGCCAGCTGGATCAGAGGATGAAGGTGGGGAGACACCCCCCCCAATCCCCAAATTTGGGATGGGGGTGTCCTGACCCCTCTGAGTGACTCATCCTGGAGTTGGATCCCATTACCTTTTGCACCTCTCCCTTCTCTGTCTCCCTTTCCCTTTTCCACATCTCCCATTCCCATGTGTCCCATTCCCACCTCTTCCATTCCCATTCCCATCTCTCCCCTTCTCTTTTCCACATCTCCCACTCTCTTTTCCACGTCTCCCATTCCCTTTCCCATGCCTGCCATCCCCTTTTCCCGTTCCTAGACTCTCATCCAGAGCCTGGAGTCCCATGTTTTGGGGTGCTGGCGGGGGCTGCTCCTGCCCAGGCCCCCCGGGAGCTCCCCCAGCTTGGCCGAGGAATCCTCCCGGCTCATCCCGGAGCTGCGGAGCTGCGGCTGGAATGACCCCGACCCTGCCCTCGTCCAGGTGGGTGGCCTGGGCTGGGATCTGGGGGGGTGTGATCCTGTGATATGGGGGGCTGCACGTGGGTTTGGGGGGGCTGAGCCCAGGATTTGGAGGTGCTGATCCTGGATTTTGGGTGCTGATCTTGGATTTTGGGGTGCTGACTCCTCGATTTTGGGGTGCTGACCCCTTTGCCCCCCAGGTGCTGCTGAATGGGGCCCCTGCACTGACCCCCCCTGATGTCCAGGCCTTGGCCTTTGGCCTCTGCCCGGCCCGGCCCCTCCGGGCGCGGCTGCTCCTGGAGGAGGCCCTGGAGGGGGCCCTGGAGAGGGACCAAGGGGACAGCAGGGGGTCCCTGGTGCTGCTGCTGGACAAGGTGAGACCCCTGGGGCTGCTGGTTCATCCTCATCATCTTCACTCCTTCCTCATCCTCCTCACACCTTCATCTTTATCCTCACACTTTCATCATCCTTCTCCTCCCCTGCTCCTGGAGGAGGCCCGGGAGAAGGGCCGGGTGGCTCTAGGGGGTCCCTGGTGCTGCTGCTGGATAAGGTGAGACACCCCCAGGGCTCCTTCCTCATCCCCACACCTTCCTCACCCTTCTCCTCCTCCCTGGCAGCACCTGCAGCGTCTCCCCTGGGAGTCCCTCCCGGCCCTCGGGGCCGTGCCGGTGACGCGGCTCCCGGCCCTGCGGTTCCTGCTCAGCTACGTGATGGCCCGGCAGGTCAGGGGGGCACAGACCCCTGGGACCCTCTCCCTGCTGGGTGGGGGGACCCCCTGAACCCCCTTCCCAGGGTTTGGGGACCCTCCATCCCCCATTCCCGGGGTTTGGAGTGTCCCAGGGTTTATTCCCCCATTCCCACATTCCCTGTCCCCCTCAGAGCTCAGGGTCCGTCCTGGCCCGGGGGGTGAACCCCAAAAGCACCTTCTACGTCCTGAACCCCCACAACAACCTGGGGGGCACCGAGCAACGTTTCCGGGCCTGGTTCGAAAGGTCAGGGCTCCTTTGGGGGGCTGGGGGGGGGCTGCACCCCAAATCCTGCCCCTATAACCCCTGGGGGGGCTGCACCCCAAATCCTGCCCCTGTCCCCTCTGGGGTGGCTCTGACCCCCAAAATCCGCCCTGTCCCCCCCAGTGAGCCAGGCTGGCGCGGCGTGTCTGGCTCTATCCCAACCCCGGAGCAGATCCAGGAGGCCCTTCTGGAGCATGACCTGTACATGTGAGTGGGATTTTAGGGGGTCCCTGGAGGGTCCTGACACCCCCCAGAGCTCGGAGTCAGTTCTGAGCTGAGGGGGTGAACCCCAACAGCACCTTCTCCCCCTTCCCTGGGTTTTGGGGACCCCCTGTTCCCCATTTCCAGGTTTTTGGGAACCCCTGGGACTCACTCCGGGGGTCTGTGTCCCCCAGCTATGCAGGGCACGGGTCGGGGGTGCGGCTCCTGGACAGACAGACCCTTTCCCGACTGGAATGTCGGGCCGTGGTGCTGCTCTTCGGCTGCTCCAGCGCCGCCCTGGCCCTGAGGGGGGGCCTGGAGCCCACCGGGACAGTGCTCAGATACGTCATGGCCGGGTGGTGAGTCTGGGGGGGCCCGGGGGGCTTTGGGAGGATCTAGGGTGTATCTGGGGTGATTTGGGGGGGATCCTGTGGGCCTGGAGCCCACCAGGACCGTTCTCAATACATCATGGGGGGGTGGAGGCTCTGGGGGGCTCTGTGCCTTTGGGGGACTCTTGGGCTTTGAGGGGGCTCTGCATGCTCAGTTTGAGGGGGGCTTTGGGAATTTGGAGGGTCTCTGTGACTCTGGGGTCTCTCCACGCTCACAGCCTGTGTTGGGGGGCACTCTCCCCCTTGTTTTGCAGCCCCCTGGTGCTGGGGACGCTGTGGGACGTCACTGACCGGGACCTGGACCGCTTTGCCCAGGCCCTGCTGCAGGGTTGGCTGGGGGGAGGCCCCGGGACCCCCCTCCTGCCCCACCTGTCCCAGGCCCGCCAGGCCCCCCGACTCAAATCCCTCATCGGGGCCGCGCCCGTGGCCTACGGGCTGCCCGTGAGCCTCAGCTGAGGGGGGTCCCTCCCATTGTCTTTGGGGTCCCCCCATTGCTTGTGGTGTGGGCTGGAGGGTCCCCCAGTTGGTTTTGGGTCCCCCCTGTTACCTACAGGCTCCTCATCTCCCTGTGGGGATGGTTGGGGGGTCCCCCCCATTGTTTGGAGATCCCCTTGTTACCTTTGGGGTCCCCCCATTGCCCTGCTGAGGATTTTGGGGTCCCCCACCACCATGGGGCCTTTTGGGGGTGTCTCTGTCTGTTCTGGGGTCCCTGTGCCTGTTTTGGGGAGTTTTGCACACCTTAATTTATTTTAATGAAATTGGTTTTATTCGAGTTTCTGCAACAATGAAATAAATAAAAGCTGCTGCCTCTTTATCCAACCCCCACCTCGAGTGTTTCTGAACCCCCAAATTCCACCGGGCTTCCCCAAGTTTCTCTGGCCCCCTCAAGTTTCCCTGGGTCCCCCCAGGTCTCTCATTAAGACCATTCCCCTTTCTCCTGGGGGGAGCATTAGGGACACCCCCTTTTCCCCTGGGGGGGGCATTCGGACCTCCTTTCTCTGGGGTCGGATCCCCCCCTTTCTCTGGGGAGCACCTTGGACCCCCCTTTTCCCTGTGGGAGACCTTGGATCGCCCTTTCTCTTGAGTGGAGGGGGCTTTACGACCCCC